ATCTCAAATACCATGAAAGTTATCAAAAAATTGTTAATTACAAAAATATGTAAAATTTTATGTTCCACAATTTTTCAGTTAATATTTTTTGTCTACCTATTGTAGTTTTGGAGATATGAGCTTTTAAACCAAGCACGCACTTTAGCAGGTGCCTCAACTTTAAAGTCGCATATCTAAAAAACCAAAAAAGCTATCAAAACTTACTAACTAGCAAAATATGTAACATTTTACGCTTCCTTTTTTGCAATTGTCACTTTTTAAGTACCTATTGTAGTTTTTAAGATACTAGAGACGCAGAGAAAACACTTTTTTCTGAAGATATGTCAAGAGACAAAGACCATCATCATCCCATCTCGCCCCCCTCCTTTTTATTATTTGTCCTTTCTTTTCACACCCCTTCTTTCATATAAAACCATCATTTACATTTCTTTTTTGCCTCCTCTCGAAAACCATTCATCTATTATATTTATCTTTCCATTTTCCCCCACTTTTCCGGTCCAAGAATACCTATAAAGATTAAAATCTATGCAAATTTCCTATGTTTAATGGTTCAAAATCGAAATTCTTGTTTCAGATCGCCGGAATCTACGCCAGCGATGAGCAACCATCGCTAAGAAGGTTCACTCGTTATAATCAATCGATAAATCAAAAATCCGTCCCACCGCCGGCGCCTCCGAATCCGCCAAAAATGGATAAGGATAACAATAATGGAAGTTCCAGAGGATCCATTTTTTTTAAAAGGTAAATTTTCGAATTTTCGAATTTGGACCCCTCTGCGCCTTTATAGTCACTTTTCAGAAGAAGTTTAAATTTTGACCCATAAATATGTGCCTTCAAAGTCAACTTTCGAAATCTTCTGTTTTTTTTTGGAAAATTTAAATTTCCTCCCATTTTTTTCGAATTTTTCTAAATGTATTTATACTCCTTTTAAAGCTCTTTTGAAGAAAAATTCAACACAAAAAAGTTCAGCTCGATTGCTCGAAAACTGAGGAAGTTAAAGCCATTTTTTATACCGGCTAGAGTATCAGAGAAACCAGACACACTGCGTCTCTGTCCTCTAAACTGAAAGTGGGCGGAGCCTAGTCATGATTATACTCATTTTGAAGCTCTTGTCGCTATTATTTCGAAAATCTAGGTTTAATCAAAATTAGATAAAAACTTGAAAAGTTACAGTGCTTTTTGTATTTGTTCTAAAAATTTGAAATTGTCAAAAATTCTCAAACCTAGACGACAAGTTTATACTTATTGCAAAGCTCTTCTGAAGACAAGTTATACACAGAAAATTTCATTCAAATCCATCGAAAAGAACTGAGTTACAGCCGTTTTTGTGAAAAGGCTAGAGCGCCAGAGAAACCAGACACACTGCGTCTCTAAAGTGGTCGTGATTATACTCATTTCGAAGCTATTTTTTTCCTGATTCTGAAAATCTGAATTTCCTTACCAAATTGACAAGTTGACGCTCAAAAAAGCCTTTTTCCCTCTTGGCTAGAGCCCCAGAGAAACCAGTCACACATTATATTTATTTGAAACCTCTTTTTCTCCTGATCCCAACAATATAGGTCTCATTCCAATATTCTCAAAATTTACAGCTCGAAGAAGCCATTATTCTTCATGGGCAATTGGACATTCCGCGAGAGGAACAAATCGGCGCGTCCCTCGATTTCCGAAGCCCTTCGTGAGGAACGTCCACAGAGTATGAATCTGTCGGACATCCGGACAAACATACGGAGTAAATCTGGAGAAGTGCTGGGACCCAGAAACCAGCCGGGAATTTTGAATTCCGAATTTCCGAGAAATATTGAAACGAGGGTTCCGGTGAAAATTGAGAGAAGCTCCATGGTCAAAAGGAAACCGTCGAATTTGGGAGGATCAACTGAAGTATCGATTAGTACGACTAGTTCTAGTCCAAGTCCATCATCATCGTCGTCGGCCAGTGTTGGAGAATTTAAAAGTGAGGAAATTCAGAAATTCAGAAATTCAGAAATTCAGAAATTCAGAAATTCAGAAATTCAGAAATTCAGAAATTCAGAAATTCAGAAATTCTAGAAATTCGAAAAATCCAAGAAATTCAGAAATTCAGAAATTCAGAAATTCAGAAATTCAGAAATTCAGAAATTCAGAAATTCAGAAATTCAAAAATTCAGAAATTCAGAAATTCAAAATTTGAGAAATTCAGAAATTCAGAAATTCAGAAATTCAGAAATTCAGAAATTCAGAAATTCAGAAATTCAGAAATTCAGAAATTCAAAAATTCAGAAATTCAGAAATTCAGAAATTCAGAAATTCAGAAATTCAGAAATTCTAGAAATTCGAAAAATCCAAGAAATTCAGAAATTCAGAAATTCAGAAATTCAGAAATTCAGAAATTCAGAAATTCAGAAATTCAAAAATTCAGAAATTCAGAAATTCAAAATTTGAGAAATTCAGAAATTCAGAAATTCAGAAATTCAGAAATTCAGAAATTCAGAAATTCAGAAATTCAGAAATTCAGAAATTCAGAAATTCAAAAATTCAGAAATTCAGAAATTCAGAAATTCAGAAATTCAGAAATTCAGAAATTCAGAAATTTAGAAATTTAGAAATTCAGAAATTCAGAAATTCAGAAATTCAGAAATTCTAAAATCCTTAAAATCCTAAAATTCTGAAATTTCCAGCCACGATTACTGTAGACGATGATCATCCGGACGTTACCGCAATTCTGCGTCCTAAAAAAGAAATGGACGGCAATTCGACATTAATCAACAACAATAGATACAGTTTTCAATCGTGGTGAGTGTTTCTTGGCGGGAAATTTGAAAAGTTCAAAATTTTAAGAAAAAAAAATACAAAAAGTACTGTAACTTTGTCAATTCTCATCAGATTCAAATGAAACCTAGATTTTTGAAATCAGCGTTTTAAGAGCTATAAAATGGGTATAAACATGGCTTGAAAATTTTTGAAATTTTCAAATTTTAAAGGAAAAAACAAAAATACTGTAAATTTGTCAGTTTTCATTAAATTTTGATGAAAGCTATGTTTTTGGAATAATAGCGTCATGAGCGTCAAAATGAGTATAATCATGACTAGGCTCCGCCCACGTTGAGTTTGGAGGATAGAGACGCAGTGTGTTTGGTTTCTCTGGCACTTTTTTTTTGAAAAATTGCAGTTTTTAAACGCAAATCGCAAGTTTTTGAGAATTCAAAAAACATAGAACCTTTTCAGCGTCCAACTCCGGAAGTCTTGTCCCGATCTGGACACCACAACAATGAGCAATATGGAGCAGCATCGCGTTTCAAAGAAGCGGACTCGGCGAGCCAAAGAGAAAATGTCCCAAGCGGCATGGAAACGAAAAGAAGTCAAAGAATGGACGCTGGATGATGTATTACTGTGGCTACAGTATGCTCAGATGGATGATGTAGCTGGATTATTGATTGGTTATGATTTGAGAGGAGAGGATTTGTTACAGTGGAATGATCAAACGCTTGGTAAGCATTGGATTACTGTAGTTTTATATTTTCACAATTTTTCAAATTTTCCAGCTCAACTCGGTGTTTCCGACCCAGAAACTCGTCAGAAATTGCTCAGCGAACTCGAAAAAATCATTAAAAATGGTCCAGAAACGTTTTCAGAAGATCCGAAAAATAATCATAAAACATTATTCGATATCGTTAAACAAACCAGTTATGATCAGGTCAGTCCAGTGGAGCGAATTTGCATTTTTTACAAAATTTTCGTTTCCAGGTACTGGCTGTGGAAACACCGTTGACTACAAGGGACATTACAGTAACTCATGGGCGATTGGGATGCCTGCAGATCACTAAAGTCAATGGAGCGAACTTGCCATTAAAGGAGCATGATTGGTGAGGAATTTTGAACTTTTTCTGGAATTAAAAAAATCCCAAACTTTTCAGCCTTCTGGAAATCAATGAGCGATCCGGGGAACAATTTAAATCTGCTTTAATGCTAACAAAACTGATTTCCGATTCCAATGGATCGCCAATTAGATTTGTGGTGCTTCGAAGGAAAACTGACACAATTATAGTTGAAGAGAAGCAGGTAATTAATTAATTGGTCAAAAACGGGTCGAAACCGGCCAAGAAATGGTTCTAAAACTGGTCAAAACTTTTGTCAAAAATGGGCCAAAAACAGACCAAAACGGACCAAAAAGAGTGTTTAAAAACGGGCCAAAAACGGACTAAAAACGGGTCAAACGCAGGCCAAAAACAGACCAAAAACAGACCAAAAACAGACCAAAAACGGACCAAAAACGGACCAAAACCAAGTCAAAAACGGACCAAAAACGGACCAAAAACGGACCAAAAACGGACCAAAAATAGGTCAAAAAAGGAACAAAAACGGACCAAAAACTGTTGTTTGTTCTTTTCTGATCCGTTTTTGGACCGTTTTTGACCCGGTTTTGGCCCGTTTTTAGACCATTTTTGGTCCGTTTATGACCCGTTTATAGCAAATTTCCTAGTTAATTGACTAATTAAATTCAAAACTTTGATTTTTAAAAATTTATCTTTTTTCAGAAAGAATCATCGAGTAGTGGCATATCGTCTAGTCCGCAGACGCCTACAGAATAATTAATTTTTCTGAAATTTTTAAATTTAATTTTTTTTTTAGATTTCGCATAAATTCCTTTCCCCGAAAAACGCTTCTAACTCGGAAACTGGTGACTCTTTATTCTACTTTTTTGAAATCTGAAAATTTAAAATTTTGTCTGTAATTATACATTTTTGTATATTTTCCGAAACCACTGACCCCATTTTTTCCATATTTTTGCTTTGATTTTATTACATTAAAATAAACATTTTATTTTTTTGAATATTATTTTTTGGGATGTTTAGAGGCTCTGAATTTTTCCAAAATTTCGAATTTTCGGGATTTTTCTAAATGTTCCCACCCACCTTTCAACTTTGAACTCAATTATCTCAATTTCTGTAAAAGATATCAAAAAATGTTTTACTAATAAAATGTTCCTCATAAGATGAGCAATTTTTTATCAGTTGACAAAATTTTGATATCTCTTATAGGAGCCGAGATAATTGAGCTCAAAGTTAATGACTTGCCTAACCTTCTTTTAGAGTGAATACGGTATCATTTATCGCGTCGTGGGCGCACCAGCCAGCCGTTCAAAGCGTCGGCGGCACGGCAAACCGGCTGGTCAAGATTTAGATCTCTCTATATAAAGTTCCCATTGTTCTCCTCTCTTCACCTAGTTTCCTAGAGTACCTGAAGACTAATCTGGATTGAAATATCCTCTATCCACCTAATCTGCTTAGCCATCTACCCAGCTGGGTCCATTTCGCGGGGTATATAAGGATTATCCATCTCCCGGAATCCTCATTCTAGTCTCCCCTCTCTTCTAGATTTCCAAGATATCCAATCCCTTGGAACTTTCCATGGAAAGTTTTCCTTTTTTTAAGGATGAAAAGGATTGAAAATAAAAGGCGAGAGGTTGATCCTCTTTTCTTAAACTTTGAGCCAATTTATCTCGATTCCTGTAAAAGATATTGAAAAGATGTAAACTGATGAATTGTTTACCATCATATCAACAAAATGTTATCATTTGACACATTTTTGATATCTCGCATAGGAGCCGAGATAATTGAGCTCAATGTTGACAGTGTGAGGGCCCTTCTAATACAGGTTTTACGTTACCTCATTAGTACGATGTATGAAGACGCTGTTCTTGCTGATAATGTTGTTAATATTTTAGAAATTGGTCCCACTGGCCAGATTCTTCAAAAAATCTGTAACTTAAAAAAATCTTGAATGTTATATGTATGTATTGTCAATGCCATCAAAACTGAAGTGTTTTTTTTTAATTCCCTAAACCCTGGGAGGAAGGGGTTATACTGTAGATTTTGAATTCATAGGGAGGCAAATGCAATGGCTCTTCTTCTTGCGCGCTTGAACTGCTAAATCTGACAGTATTTAGGAGATTATGAAAAAAGAAGTTCCCGAACTGAACATCACATTTCTAAGCTGTCAGTTTTTTTCCCAACTATATGTAGCGCCAAAGCCGCCAACTATGATACCCCTTCTCTGTCAAAAAATTGATGTTGTGAACTTATGAATCCCGGAAAACAGCTCCATCAGGTTAGGTGAACAAAAAAGAGGGATTGGTAGCCTAGATTAAGATCAAAGAGCCCATTGTTCTTTTCTCTTCACCTAGTTTCCCAGAAAAAGTCTGTAAATCCCACCTGTCTTCAGCTATCTACCCAGGTGGGTCCATTTCCAGGGGTATATAACAGGGTTGCGACGGGCCGGGCCGATTTTCTAAAAACTTCGGCCCGTCCGGCCCGTCTGCAAACTGTAAAAATTTCCACTCCGAATTTTCCACATGTATGTTCGGGACTGTAACTCAGCTCAAACTCAACCGATTTGAATGAAAGTTTTTTATTCACGTTATCAATTACCCACTTGAGGTTTTAATCCGGGATACAAATTTTTCATGAACCGATTTATTTTAAAAACAACAAGAGTAACAAAAAAAAACAAAAAAATATATGAAGATCCAAAAAATTAGTTGAGCCAATCTGGAAATTTCGTTGCCAATTGAGCCCCGACTACGACGATTTCTGCTTTTGTGTAGGCCAGACGAGATCTAGTTTTATCTAGAAGAAATGCTGCTCTCGGAAATGATGATTCACACATAGATTCTGATGGCACGACGGAGAAGACTTGAGTGGCTACCTTGTAGAGAGCTGGGAATTCATTTTTCTTTCCTCTCCAAAACTGCTCCAATGATTCTTGGCCGCTCCCGTCAAAGTGTTCTCCCAAATAGCTTAAAAAAACAATAGTTTGTTGATTCAAAGCTGTACTCTCACCGCTCCAAATCATCGCTTTTTGGTACGAGCACAGCAGAGTCCTGCACTTTCTTCAATAGGGCAGCGATAGGATCTGATGGGTCATCTTGAATTGGAACAGTGGCAGGTGGAATTGCCGGAAGTCTGTTGACAATGTACAATTTTGCCTGAAATGCTTTGATATTTTGGTTTCGTTTCAAAGCTTACTTTATCAAATTCCTCCTTTGAAAAATTAGACATTCGTTTCGTAAACGGGCTGAGCATCACAGCAGCAAAATGTACTTCTTCGAACTCTCGATAGTAGTGTTGAACAGCCAAAAGACCCGATTCGGATAACGCTCTGAGCATTTCGACATCGATTAGGTCTTCGTCAATGTCTTCGAATCTTTCCTTGGCATATTCCGTCCAAGTTATCTCCAGATGTTTATAAGTTGGCAGGACAAGGTGAAGAGTGACGGCTGACTGACTCTGAAATGTTTCTTGTTTTCTCGAAGATATATTTTTTCAATTACCTGAAAAACCTTGTTGTGTGCAAGAAGTGGCTTCAAAATGTGAAGCAGCGCACGAGCTCTCTTCGGGTGGTCATCGGTTAGCAGGTTGAGAGCCGATCGTCCTTTTGCCGACAATCCGGAACATTTCTGGATGTCTTCCAGGAGATCAAGGACATCGGAAAGACATTCCGCCGAAGACATCCACCGTGTTTCGCATTTGAGAGCTGGAAGACGTGGGAGAGAGGCGCAGATGGCGTTATTTGACCGGACAGCCACTGCAACATCCCCAGCCAAAGCAAGAATCTCTTCAGCCTTCTGAAGTTCTGAAGTGAAATCGACGAGTCTGGGACGATGAACTTTCAGTGGAGAGACCACTCTTGAGGCGACGAGATTGAGGGAGTGATTGACGCAGCGAATAACTGAAAAATAATGATTATTTTCTTTTTTTTGTGTTAAATATCAAATTACAAGACTGGAATTTCCCACCAAAAGTGGATAATGCTCCATCACCGGTCACATTACAACGGAGTACATCTTCTCGACTCCATCCCAAAGATTGCAGTTTCTGTAGAATCGAATTGGCAGTGTCACGTCCTGTTTTTCCTTCAAGGGCTGGAGTGAAGCCGACCGGAACAATTTGGATCTTGAAGTCGGAATCGAGAAAGGTGGCAAAGATTGAAAGATAATTCACGATCAATTTTCATTGATCCACTGCCAAGTTTATTTCTCCTTTGTAAGGCTCCATGTATCGTAAGGATTTTTCCACGAGATCCTTGGAGAGAGCTTCCGAGTGCGCCTGAATCGTTGATCGATGAGGGAGTTGTTTCAAAGCAGCTTCTCCGTATCCAGAACTTCTAAAATTATTAAATTAATATAGTTTAGCCTCTCAAATCAAGTTACGTGGTGTTGAATATATCCATCATCAGGGATTTCATAGCATCTGAGTTCATATGATTAAAGCTTCGCCCGGTTCTAAGACAGTATTTCGAAAGAGCTTTGTAGATTTTGGTGAGATCAGATTCTTTGAGTTTTTTCGTCGAATATTCTGAAAATTAATTATAAATCTCTTCCAAATTTGAAAAAGTTTACCAGAAATTTTTCGATTCTTAAAAACCGGCTCTTCTTCTTTTTCGTTTTCCGTATTTTCCACAACTCTTTTTCTTCGCTTGCAACGTTCTTTCACATGGCGTCGAACATGGTCTCCGTCGGAAACAGTGAGCAAGGTCAGACAGTTTTGACAGGCAGCTTTTCCAGTCTCAACATACTCATCTGATTCATCGTCGTAGAGAAGCACTCGAAGCTTCCGGAAAACGAAACTGGTCCCCCTGAAAATTTTATTGGATTAGTGTTGCTACTATTTTAATAAAAACTTACGAATTTGATCTTAGGATCCTGGGCCTTGACCATTTTTTGAAGATTCGATGTCATTATATCACCTGAAAAACGCAAGAAAAATTCACGAAATCGGGCAAAAACTGAGAAAAAAATCCGAAAAATTTTAGGAATTAAATTGAAAAAATTTGGTGTCGATTTACGGTGCGCCTTTAAGTTGTTTACAAGTTGTTTACAGGTTGTTTACAGGTTGTTTACGTCTTGTTTTCGTTGTTGTTTTTCACCCGTTGGTGCCTATGTTCGCTCAAAAAATTTTTCATCAAAAAAATTTTTCTCTGAAAAAGCTATGGACGGGCCGACGGGCCGGGCCGGGCCGGAAATTTTTTCTGACGGGCCGGCCCGTCAATCCGCAACCCTGGTATATAAGGACCATCCATCTCCCCAGATTCTATTCTATTCCTCCTTCTCCAGACTTCCAAAATATCCAGTCTCTTGAATACCAAGGGATTGGGTGTCTTGGAAGTCTTCGGAACTTTCCATGTGAACCCTTGTGAATGGGTTCTGCAATTTTCCTTATTTTTCTGATTATTCTATTCCTATCATTCCGAATCTAGATGTCTTTCGAGACTTCTAGAGTTCCTTTTCCTGCTTTCTACTGTGCGAAACTTCCGAGTCAGTTGTCAACCTGCTTTCCATCAGAAAGATTGCATTGTGAAAGTCTTCGGACATCTCAATGATCCTGTTGAACGTAGCAGATCAACAGCGTCAGACTACTACAGCAATTAGTAGGAAAACGACCTTTATATCAACTCAGCTTCGGTAATCCGGTGTCGATGACGCCTATGTGTCGGAGTTTTGCGGCTCTCACTGAGTTGATTCGAACTGCATTGACACCAATTAATGGATATTCCTGTTCCTGCACACAGGTGCTGAACCCATTCCACGAGTCCTATGACGAGGCGTAGAAGAAAATGCTCCTTCATCCGTCAACAATGCCTCCAGTACGTTCAAGCATTGGAAACAAACCATTCAAATTACAATTTTTAGTTGCTTACAATAACGGTTATTGAATAACCGCATAATGTTTTTCTTTTACCCACTCGGAGTTAACCGATTGTGTCTGAACTTGGACAGACAGATCAGAAATTTAGATCAGAAGAATGTCTTAGTTGATGCCCGAATTGTTTTATTAAGTAATATTATTGAAGCAATATTTAGGTCATCCCCGTCTAACCACCCAGATAATCTTTTTTTAAAGGGGGGGGGGGACAGGAGATTTTTCGTAGTTTTTTTGTAGCTAGAGTATGCATTCTTTCGTCACGGTGTACAACGCTTAATGTCACTCTGCGTACAGCTGTCGTCCTCGCCTTTATGTATGCAATCGGGCGTGCGCTTTCTCTTTACCCGCGTGGCTCAGTCGGTAGCGGCGCCGCACCCTCAATCATCGCCCTCACAAGTTCAACTCCTCGAGGGGCATCTTTGAACGGAATTTCGAGAAAATAATTTTTTTCCTAGCGCACCAACTTTAAAGGCGCATTCCTCCCAAACTACAGAAGATATCAAAACTTTGTCAACCGATAAAATATGTGAAATTTTATGGACTACATTTTGTGATTAACTAGTTTTTGATAGCTGTTTTAGTTTTTGAGATAAAAATATCTGAAAGCAAGTGGCTTAATTACCTTAAGTGTTATGATATCAAAAATCTTTAAATTAAAAAAAAATTTGATTAATTTATAGGTTGATCCAAAAATCATGGATCGACAAACCCAGATGCAGGAAAGAGGACAAAAAACATAAAAAGGATGCTCCGACCGGAAAAAAGATTGATGACAAAAAAACCCACCAAACACAAGAAGATGACGTCTGCAACCAGCATAAAAGAGG